TTTCCACTGCTATTTTGACAATTTTGGGTGAATTACCTACAAATCTCTGCATAGACAATGTGCCCCACATGCTTCCAGAAACTGTTACCACTGGAGCAGAGAACAAATGTGAGCTTTTGGCATCTGGTGAGGTGTTAGAGGGAACCTGACATAAATGCAATTACCTGGTTCTTTCTGCCACAACGACGAGCAATCAAATCTGTTAAAACAGATGGTTGGATCAATTCACAACTCTCTTGGCTACTCTTAAGTAAGGCCACCTTCAGACTTAGGAGAAAAGCATAAAAAGATTTAGTTACCACTCTGATTATTTTTCTTCTGTTTAATTAAGGGTGCCTTTCTTAGAATTACAGATCTAAAGGAAGCCTCAGTAATTAGATATCTAACAAATCTGTACATGAGAATGCAATGCTTTCACAATGAAAAAGCATACCTTGTTTTTACTCATTTCAGTTTCAATTAGATCTGTTTCTGCAAGTAAAGTTTCATGTTCTTAAAACTGTCATCTGGCATTTAACAAGTGTTACGTAAGGTATAATTTTTGTTTTAAAAAGTTAATACTAGTTACTGAAGGGTAATATAGCTTTGGTTTACCATCTTTAATTTTGATCTAACTCTATCATAATGTAAAACTACCTCTTGTTTCAACTCTAATTCAATGAAGGTCAAAGGATTCCCCCTAGGTGAACAATGTCCTTTGAAATTTTTCAAAGCATCTGGTAGGCGGAACTATGGTCTTCAAAAATAAGTTGTAGTGAGATTGCAAACAACAGCATAACATTTGCTTAGCTGACCACAGGTACTATGGGAAGAAAGAAAGAACTCTTAAAGAGTTGGAAACATCCACTCAGAGAATCACAAGAATACACTATGACTTGGTATATACAAAATTATAACATCCAGCTCCAAAAGTATTCTTGGGAAGAATTAGAGGACTAGCTTTGGAAGATGAGGTAAAACTTCCTAAGGAGCTATAGCAATATTATTAAATTGGAAAAAATATGATCTGAGACTAACAGCTAAAGGCTAGATGAGAGAGAAGAAAACTGCCTTCAGACTGGATTGTGATAAACTCCAGTGTAATCTTCTGACATATATGGGAACCATATCTCTCTCAGTAGGTATGTGGAAGCTGGACCTCTCAGAGAGAGTACATTGTTTTCAGAGAGCAAGTCAGCTAAATACATACTTCACATCTTCAGAACCATGAGGAAGAACTTAGACAAGAAAAAAAACATACTAATGGAAGTATCATGGACAGCTCAGGGAGAAGAATATTTAAGCGGGACAATTAAATAAACTTAGTATTTTTTCCACAGTTGCAGGAGTTTGATGCACTTTTCTGCAGAAAACTTTCCAGTTGTGAATGCCTATTTACATTAAAGTTGCACAACGTGGAATTTCTGAGGTGCATGAAGTCCCAAGATGTAGAAGTCTTTGGAGGCCATAACGGGTCCAGGACACAAATAAGTGGCGTCTTCCAGTTACCAACCTTCTGAGCCAATCTTCTATCTTGCCTTCTGAACCCAAATGACTCAACAGGCCAGTGCCTTGCTCTGGGGTTCTCGCTATCACAAGAAAACTGAAACAGTCTCTTGAAACCATTTAGCCAGTGAAACAATCACTGCTGCTTTTCATATCTTCTGGCCTTAGGCTACCACCTGTTTCGCCTAGCATATATATTGCAGAATCGGCCCTGGCAGCAAAATGCAGTGGGTCAGGCAGGCTCAGTGTCACAAAAAACAGTGACAGGAGATAGCACAGCTGCAGAAACCTGCCTGAGGCTCTCTGTCTTGCAGGATTTTAAAGGAATGTTTGCAGCACTGACAGTTACGGGTAGACAGTTTTCCCACACAAAGCCATTAGAATGTGGTGTGTTCATGGACAGTCCTGAGACCTCAAACAGATTTTGCTGTATCAAGATGAAAGCAAAATGAGGCAGCTGGGGCTAATAAGTTGAAAATCAATGCCATTAACAGAGAAAAAAAGAAAAAAAAACCACATCCAAGCCCTGTAGAAGCTGAAACTTTCATCTATGCCTCTTGCTTTGTAGAAACAGACTGTACAGCGTCCTGGCTCTCCTTGGATTTGATCTCAGATTTAGGGAGATAAAAATATAGATGATATCCAAATTTCCTGTTTATTAAAAATGCATATAGTGTACTTATATGCAGCTGTATGCATGCATATGTATATATCTCTGTTTTGCTATTGGCTACATTATGCTTTGAACAGACATTGCATGATATTTTTAGGATTTGAGAGGAGCAGCACCTATGATTAGTGAGGTTATGAAATTTAATTATACCTTCTATGACCTGCCACAGGTTATGGTGTGACAGCACAGACCCACTTCATGGTATCTTCACACCTTCTTAGTGTTTCAGAGCTAATGATGACATACAGACTGGCAAACTCAACAGTCAGGGACATTCCTAGGCATTAGAAGATCAGCTTTCTTTAAAACTGTTTCAGATAGCCCTTGGCATGCTCTTAGCCTGTGTCAGCTAGCTCTGTACCATAAAACTCATAATCATCGTTTCTGTGTGGAAATTAGCTGTTTGTATTGCAGCTACTCCACTTTGGAGACCCAGAGAACTTAGAAGCATGTACACACACCACTGAGCCACTTGGCCCCAGTGGCAAGAAATCTTTTCAGACACACTCACTTTACTGGTATAGGTGCAGCCAATTAGTTCAAATAAATAGAGATATCACAACTTAATCGTTCGCCTGCTCTGTTGATCTGAAATTCAGAAAAAGCAACATGAATGCCAGTGACTGAACGCACCCAATTGAATATGAGGACCTGAATAGGCAAAAGTCCACAAATATGAATCCAAGGCAACATCTCCATTTCCCTAAACTAGTGGCTTTATAAACCTGAATTTACGTTGCATCAGGAGCTTCTGAAGGAATATATACAAAATTAAAAACATATCTTCATTAGCAGAGAAATGGCAACTTAGCAGCTTATTTGAATTTTTCTGGTTTTGCACAGTAACTTGTTTGTGTACACCAATACAATCTGCTTTACAACTTTGCCTGAATGTGTGAAAATGAACTGTTGCATTTCCCTGAGCAATATTAATGTACATACCCATCTTTTAATCTCTTTCATAATATTAATTTAGACTGTCATATTTTAATCTCTTTTCTTACTGTCCTGCTCCTTTCTAATTACAAAACTGTCCACCTCTTTCCAAAATTAACAATGATTTATTATTAGGCATTTTCATCTCATTCCATAGAATTTAATTTTCTCCTTTAATTTATTTCTTTTCTTTGTAAGAGCAATGATGATTTATATGTCAGACAGAATAGGCATTTATATGCAGAGCTGTTCAATAGCTCTAATGAGAAAGATTTTTCTTTTCACTTTCTACTAACAAGGAAAAATCACCTAGACTATGTTCATTTCTAAACATTTCCCATTTAAGTTGCATTGAGAATGAACAAGTATCAGACATACAAAAGTGTTATGAGGCTGTAGTGTCTTGCATTCTAGAAATTTATAAGGAAAATTAAAAACTAAAATACTTTAAAGTATTGAGATTAATTTTTGACAGAATGATGGACAGTAAGGAGGAATGATGCTCAGAGAAAAATCAAGCAAAGAACTGCAGGATATCCATGTCAGTCCAAGTGTAGAACATGCCCTGAATTCCCAATTAGCTCAGTAAACAGAGCATGTCGCTAGGACAACAGATTGACTGAATGTCAGCTGGAAAATTATTCCCACAGTGAGTGATTTTGAGACCAGCAAGGAAGGACAGAGAAGTCTGCAGGAAACAGAAACCAAACTAACCAAAAAAGGTGAGGAAAAGAAAATTGTGAGTCCAGACAAAGATCTGCATGGTTTCAGAACAAGAGGAAGTACCACTACATTCGAACCCCTTAAAGCATTGAAGTGAAAATGTTATTTCACTAGTTCCTCCTCTTACAAGCTGGACAGTATTCCTTGAAACAAAGCCCCTCTCAGTGGCTTAGCTCCTTGTTCTCACCTAGTACACACAGCAAACCTGCTTAGCATTTTTATCTAACGCTAAAAGCATACTTACTCTGATCAGGAAAGCGCACTCTTCAAGCACCAGGTTTGTAACAGTGGCATTTTATTTTGTGTCTAATGTATTATATTGTTAGAAGGTCACGTTATTCTCTTGATAGCATTCTACTTCACATAAACTTCAACTGAGAGATTAAAATGCGTCAAAGACCAAGATCTTCATATCCACAACAGGGACATTACTACCAACTGAAATAGGAATATACTCGTTATACTAGGGATAGGATAAATATCCCTCTTTGTATAGGGTTTTAAAAGACTCAAAGGTTTTATTTTATCTTCTTGTTTCCCTTACAAAGAAGTAAATAAAGAACTAAAAGAAATATTGGTCTTAGTCTTTGCCTACCAAGGATGAGTTTCAATGAATTCCCAGTGAAAACCATAATTTCTTCTTCTTACACAAACGTGTTTTAAGTCAAAATTTCTCTGCTTATGAATTTCCTCATAACAAACTTCTTCTAGCCGACATGACATCTATAGAGCAGAACATTAACAGAACACTATCATCCTTTCATATAGATTATTTTACATATTTTCCCACAAATTGTAACAGATGAAAAGTATTTAATTTTGCCATCTGCAAACAAATCAAACAATCTGATCTAAAGTTTGGTCAAGTTAGGGAAAAGGCTTTAATCACGCTTTGGCTCACTTTCTAAATGCGGCTGAGAAGTTTTATAGCTGTTTCCAGAAACCAAATCTTCACCATAAATCAGCACAGCATATTACCTGCTCAGATTCATACATGCACATGTGTTTCCCTAACTTGTTAATAAACCTATTCTGTCTTATTATAAAAGCAAACTCTAATTTTTCTTCTCTGAATATTCTCAGAAATAAACTAAAAGCATAAGAAAATATCCTCCAGCTATTTTATTCTCATCATTAATTAAAGGAACAAATATATTATCGTACTTAAAATACACTCTGGAGCTGTGATTTTAATATACTTTATTGAAAAAGTACACAGTTTTAAATATTTTTTCAATGGGACAAAGCAATGGTCACCTCTATCTACCAAGTCCTTTTCTGATGAATCATGACTACCATACGCCAAATTCACATCTGCATGACTTGCAAAGTAAAAAGATAAATCTCTTTTCAACATATCTTTAAGAATTTATATCACCAACAGTTTAAAATCATGAAATGCTGATGCTCTGACTATATTTCGCGTCCTTTATGTTGCACCATTTCCCAGATCACAGTTTATCCATGTATTAGCATGTCAATTGAACACATCAGTCAATGTCACCTTGAGAAGATTGCCAATAGCAGAGGAAGAAGAACAAAAGGAGGTTTAGCACTAAGGCCTGAGACACCACCACATTCTCTTGCATTTTCCTACAGAAAAAAAAAAAAAAGAAGAAAAAAAAAGAAAAATAAATATTGGCCATAACACTCAGTTATGATAAAAGATCGTTTACCAAACTTCACAGGCAAGATTGGTGCAAACAAGAAAAGCGATGAACTAAATACTTTCAGGAAGTCATACAGGTACGCAGTTATTTGAACAATCTTAGATTGTAGACTGAAAGTGAACATGACCAACAAGAACTACAAAACCCCCTTCATGCCATATTTTGGGTCTCATTCTACACTGCATTATGCTATTGAAGGCATGCGACTCCCGAGTGAAACAGATGTCTATGAACATATGCTCTACAAGCCACCTGGCACTATACAAGTAAGAGTACTATATGTGGAACACGGAGGAGGAAATATGTGTAGCCATCCCTCCCAAGAAATACTATGTGTAAACATAATGACTATGGCATAACAGTTGGGATACTGAAGCTAGTTACTGAAAAAAAAAAACATTAAAAGCACAAGGTTCCCAGCCATCTCTGATGAGGAATCTTGCGGTCAGTGTTTGAGCCAGACTAAGTTCTCCAATACTCCTGGCTGCCAGTCTGGGCTCACTTTTCACCACATTCTCTTATATGACACAAACCAGTCTATAAAAGCAGCAAGTCACAACATTGTCTACAGGAGTACTAAAATGTTTTGCAGCACTTACAGCATCACTCACTTGCCCTACTACTGTGCTCTGAGTGTTCAGAACACTTCCTGATGTTTCACCTTAGTTTTCCTATTTATTTTTAAAAAAAAAAATACAATCAGAGTCTAAAAGAGAGGAAAAGAATGTAGAAACTTACTTCAGGGTGAAATCCATGACAAGATTCCGGGCGTCTTCTTATCTTCTGAGATTTTAAACGTTCACATTTAAGGGATTCGTTATGTACAAAGCAGTTAAGGAGAGATCTTCTGAGCATTGCATTTTAATATCTTGAGTATATGTGAGTGTTTTGAAATTAATATAATAAAAAATTTTCAGTTCCTTCCTTTCTCTCCATCAGAAACCCAAGGTGATATGTGTGGGTCAACATAAGAAAAAGAAGGTAATTCTAGCACTTTCTCCTCAGTGACCTATAGTTGAGACAGTATCTTTTGCACTGACACTGCTAACCTGTCTTTCTGTAAGTCTGCAACAACTTAGGCAAGAAAATAAATCCTAAACTACAGAGCAGCACAGAATAAAAAGTGGGGCAACTAAAAATCACATGACATATTTACTTTGCTACATTTTTATATTTTTGAAAAGCAGGGTTCTGAAATATTTTCAGTACTCCAGTCCAATACTAAAATAAAAGATTTGTAAGGAGCTCCATTCTCATGAAGAAATTACTTGGGAGCTAATTTGAAACACATTCAGCTACCTGAGGATGAGCATAACCTTACATTACTTACAGACACATATAAGCGTGTTTGCTTAATTTGTATTCACTGTTCAAAAAAACCCCACAAAGTGAATTATCCTTGAAAATAAGTAAGAAGGCATTCTCAGCTGGCTTAATCTCAAACAGCCCCAGCATTTTGCAGAGGGTAATGATGTGTTCATAAGTCACATAATGCAAGTTTTACATAATAAGAAAGTTTTCAATATTTGCATCTTGAATCTCTTTCTGACAACTTTGCAAATAAAAGGATATACCTTATTTCTATGGGTGCCATGGTAATCGGTGGGACAGAGTCACAGAAGCATTCATTATCCACTACCACCATGAAGAGATTGCTGCTTGGAATTTGCTGGATAACAAAAGACCTGCAAATTAAAGAGAAATCAAACAATGGTGACGTTATCTATATTTCTGAGGGACAAATTTCGTTAGGGTTTTTGAACTGTCAGCAACACCTGTATTATACAGTCACAAATACCACTGACGTTATGCAACATACTATATCTCCACACTTTATAGAAGTAGAGGGCCTTGGGCAAAGGTTACCCCAGAATGTGTCCATTTGGAGATGTCTGTGCTGAAAGGTGCACAGGGGAAGCAAAACGGATGGGCTCAGAGCGCTGATAGTCAGCATGGGGACTGGGACGCATGCGAAATACCAAGGCGTTTATCAGATTTTAATACTGAATCTCTGCCCTGCTATGAATACCTAGCTATTTATTTATGATCTGGAATTTTTAAGTACACACGAAAGTGACGTGCAAATACAACGGAGGTTATTCTGCAGCCACACAGTGATAACTCAGGGTCCCAAAATTTAGTCCCTACAATCACATTGGGGTCTTTATTCACTCTGGGTCTTGCCTGAAGCAACATGAAATACTAAGAAAGATCTCAGCTTTCAACTGTCCTCCTGAGACTCATTTTATTACTGAGCCAACAAAACAGAGATTAAGCCCCAAAATCTTTCTAAGCAAGGAGATTTATTTTGGAATAATGACGACTGTATGGTACAAATATGGTGATAACTCAGCACCACATTCAAATTAAGACAAAGTAGGCAACTCAAAAGGAGACTGAGAAATAAAGACACTGCCTGTAAGAAGGAAAGCACCCAGGGGGACCAGGGTAGGATCCTGTGGGCACTATTCAATGATTCACAAAGTTACAATGAACTAAACTCTTAAGCACATACCAAAGAGGGAACAGGAGGAGGCAGAGCCGAATAAGCACTGTTTAGCCTTTTCTTTGAAATTCAGGACACAACACAAAGAAAGGCTTTAAGGCTCAAACCCAGTTCTTGATAACTTTTTAAAACAATCTGTCAGAATTTATATATCGTACCAACAGAATATGTGCCATATTGAATATCACTGAAATCTGGCAATTCCAGGAATTAGGTGTTTTTCTGTGTGGTATGCTGGTAAATGCACAAAACGTTAAGTGAGGGTTTGAGCACCAAGAAGATGTGGAGAGAAACATATTTTTCCTCAGACATCTTTATTCAAAATACAGATTGTCTTACTAAAATAACTCCCTGCTTTTTCCAAAGATCACAGAAGATGAAATAGCAGAGGGGGCAGAGAATATTCAAACCTAGCTTCAGAAAAAAAAAATAAATTGGAAAACTTACTATAAAAATGTTGCCAACAGAAAGATTAAACACTTTTCAGTACTTTTTAAACTTATTGAACCACCATTAAAATTACACTTAGAGTGATCTGCAATATGTTAGCTTTATGTTTATACATGAAATATACATTTATGGCATAATGTAAAAGGCTGAACTTTACAAATGTACCTACCAAACAGCTGGAGCAGACTGACATCATTTTAACGGAGCATCTGTGGCTTTGTGGATTTGTGTGTGGGAGAAATGGGGCCAATAAAAGGAAAGGAGGGAAAAATCTTTAACAGACAATAACACCAAAATTGTAATGCATGAATTTCTCATAAGAGTTGTGAATAAATCAAACCCTAAATGGCAAAAAAATTACTGATTTTTTTCCCAGAAACTGGCACAATGTCGATTTTGTGCAGACTAAACTTGAATTTATTGTATCTTTAAAACTAGTTCAGAAAAGGACCTGAAGGGTATTGTATCAATTAGCTGGATGCCAAATGATTAATTTCTGGTTTTGAAGAGAAGGGAGTAATCACCCTTCTCTTGTACCTGTGGTGTGCCTGACTCCAGGTCCTTTTGTGTCCCTCAGGTGAATTGTGAAGCCTGTGAGAAAGCACATACTACATAACCAGGCTTAAAGGTGCCATATTTCATGAAAGGCGGGCATGTTTCCCATTTAATTTCTTCTTTCATCCACTTCTCTGGGGTGGTATAAGGGCTATACAGCACAGGCTATTGCTTCCCTCAAGAAGAGAAGGGGAAAAAGAGAAGTAAAAAAAAATAATTGCACTAAGCCAGAAGAAAATTATGATGCTGAGTGACTTACTATATCACTTCCCTGACAAAACAGTCAAAAACTGCAAAGTAATTAGGTGATACAGAAAATTTTCTTAGACCTGGCCATTTGGGGAATGCCATGTATACATGGATTGGTGAAGATTATGAGTTAAAGGAAATGCAAAGTGCAATATATTAGGATAAATAAAAATAATTTCTACTTTAAGAATTATATGATCGATATTGACCAATTATACTGATTCAGTTTACCAAACAGTGACTTTTCTTCAAAATCTGCAGTCTGTTTATCTAATACAGATGTTTGGGAAGTGTCTGACCTTATAGTGACTGTCACGAACGTGCGACTGCCACTTAAATAACCATAAAAAGATAAAACTTTTGGAGCACTGCCGCATTTTTTTCCATAGTGCATAATACTATCTTAACTAATATCTTGTGAATTGGAAGAATTAACTTCTAATCCACCATACTAGAGGTGAAGAAAATGTTATGTTCAATGAGCATTAAATGAAAGTTTTACCTTTCACGATTCTCAAACATAATCTTGAAATGAAGTTGTAAAGCCCAATGCACGTCCTCACCAGTCATTGACTTGTGAGGTCACAGGCAAAGGATTAACATATCAACAAGTGAAGACAGGGGACTGAAAACAAAGATTGAGTCAAGAAAATAATTAAAGGCAAAAAAAGGTTTATGTCCAATTTAGCTTTCTTTTCTATTACTAGAACGTGCACAAGCAAATTATACTTCTCTCACCTACTGTAATTTAAGATCATTTCACAGTCATGAAGTATTCTCACCCTCACTAGATCAGGAGCAAAGAAGTTTCTGCCAATTACACCCACTGCAGTTGCTCTGTGACTACTCAAATAATTCACAGGGCACTGCTTCCATGCCCAAGCTGCATAAAGCACACAATCACCTCAGCAGCAGCTCCTCTGTCTCAGTTCAACTTTCCGTCTCCATGGTGACACGCGCAGGCATCGCTGAAATTCATTTTTAGTGAATGTTCATGCCAATAAGTCTCAGGAACTGAACATTCACAGAAAACAAAAGGTGCGTAAATGCAGTCAGAACAAAGTCTTTCAAATGCTGCAATATTCCACCACAATGTTTCACTGCAGACGCCAAGATTCAGTTGCAAGGGAGAAAAACCTCTAGCAAAACAGCTTCCATGACTGCAGTGGGAAATAAAGAAAGGTGCTGACAAAGTAACGAAAATGCTCGCCTTTTAAGTGAGCTCTGCTGTGCGTCCCTAAAGTTTCTATTACAAAAGCATTTTTGAACACTTACTGGCTTGGGCTGTCATTTGTGTCACTGGCAATATGGGAGCCAATTCTCAGGGACAGAGTAAGAGTTTTTGTTGAATGTATTGCTAATTTAACAATCAAAAGAAAGTCTATGTTCAATAGCCTATGTTTAGTATTTATAGAGAATCTTTCATATTTAAAGGGTAAAGCTCTATTTGCATTAAGTAATGTAAATTTGATTTAAACCTTTTTTTCTTTTACACTGGTATCATTACCATCATTTGACAGTGACAGCACAGAAAAAACCTTGCATATGTCTCCATATATAAAATGGAATAAACTGTTGGGGTTCCTGTGATTTCGAAGCCACACTGAGTCAATAGGAACTTTATTAATAATTCCTCCTCCATCTTTCATCCACTGAGGAACTAGTTTGGTTTATTTGATGTGCACGTTCAGAGGCTTAAAACAGATCTGAACACAAACTGCTTCTTCATTTTGCAGGGAAGGTGAGGAAGGAAGAAATTTAATACCTGAAAGGGGTAGAGAGAGAAGGAGGAAGAAAATCTATTCATGCCAAGCTATTTTGTTAATGAAAAAAAAAATAAGGACAGAGAGCAAATTTTCAAGAACGCCTGTATTTGGAGTCAGAGCTTTACTCAACACTTTTCTCGGTTTCTTGCTCGTCTCCTTCTGTATCAGCCCATATAAAAACATCCGCATAAATATGGAACAAATTGATTTGGAAAAAAAGACCCAAAAAACAGCTTAATGTTTTGCTTGGAAATAGTAAATATCTGCTCAAAAATGCAACTATTTATCAAGCTGTTCACTGAAAATTATTTTTTCATTGTGGAATGACATGGGAAAAGACTTGGACTTCAAGTACTGCTACATTCATAGTTATATTTGCTAAAGTTGTGCTTATGAAGGCATGATAAGAAAGCACATTTAACATGTGTCTGGTGGCTAAATGACTTTCCCACAGAGAAAAAGTTCCTTCTAATTTCTTAGGATAGCCTAGAATTTGGAAAGCATCATAACAAGTCTGTAATACAAATCCTGGAGGGCAGTCACACCAGGTGCCTTTGTCCATATAACCCAGCTTCCTACGTTAGAAGAGTAGTCATCTCCAACCCTGAACAGAGCACAGGCAGAGACACAGCCTGTCCAAGGATAGCTCAGAGCAGGAGCTTGGCTTCCGTGACCTGAATCATCCTCTGCAGGAGGGCATTTCTCTCTCTAATGGCTGAAGAGTGATCCTGCAGAGAAACACATCCAGAACGGGGTGAAATGTGATGCCTAAAGCAAAGAGCAGACTACACCACCTGCTCTAAAACAGCCAGAGCACTATGTTCAAACCTGTGGTGTTGGGTTTTTTTCCAGTTTGAGTATCTTCCTTTTGCTCGTTTATATAAAAGTTGTCAGACAGTTACATATTATATTGCTATCATAATAATTTCTTCCATGGATTATGTTAAAAATAATTTTTAAAATACCAGCTTTATTTTTTTAAATAAAAATTCCTCCTGTGAGGAGGAATAATCAGAAGATATCTGCAGGGCAGTAGAGATGTAGGGATTGTGCCAACAATACCGCTGCTGCACTGCTCTCTCTCCACACCATGTGCTCCTTTCTCTTCCTTTCGTTTCCAGCCTCTGAATCTCTGAGGTGGCAAAGTACCAGTAAGGCA